TCAATGCTAGACACATTTATGGGCTCACGCTTATTACATTTTTCACACAAAAAATCTTTCACAATCTCAGGAGACACAAAACGATATAAAAGTTGGAGTAAAGAACATCCAGCCAAGTCAGATAATAAATGCAGGGAAATGCTATCAAATTTATCATAGCGAATTGGAGTCTTAAATCCGCATTCTTTACATTTGAACTGTGTTGCCAGTGTACCATGGAATGGAATACTATAATTAGGTTCTTTTGGTACTTCATCAAATAATGCCATCCGAACACAGCTTCCAACACGTTCTAAAGAACGGCAAGATATTGAAGACCTTTTACTTAGTGAGATCTTTCAGATATATAACGTGGGCGACTTTTTCTGTAGATGAAGCAGATGCAGCTACTTCATACAAATTGATTTGAGAATCAAAATCAATTTCTCCATCTGGAGAATGGGGAGAATTTGGTGTATGAACTTCAGATCTTGTATAATTTGATAGAGGCGGATATGGTGGACTTTGGGGTGCTGTGTCCGGGGTTTCTGGCCACGGGCCAACATCACGATCAGCATAAGATACCATCATTGCACTTGATGGTCTTGTAGGTAAAAGACTGTAATCACTTAATCCCAAAGCATCAGATAAACATCCAATTTTACGTACCGGTTTATTAATTTCTTCTTCCAAACTGCTCAAGATGACATGCAGCAACTCATGAGCATCTTGCTCGTCTGGTGGTATTACCCATCCAAGAGCAAATAATGACTGCAAGATATCGCCTGGCGTATAAGGGTCAGATCTTATTGTAACATGAGTACCGTTGACGACTTCTATGACGGTATTCAAAGTTGTTATCAGACTTTTCGAATCTCTTCCACTGAATTTTTGTAACCATAGTTTGAATTGTGTGCATGCTGCTAAGGCTTGTAAGACTGCATTTAAAAAGCAGGTTCGACCTAAGTTATGAAGACCGCCAACTTGTTCCTCTTCTTTTACGTAATCTCGTACCTCCGGAGGGTCCCCAAAGGACATAAGCACCAACTACAACAGCTGCAGTCACGCCAGCTGCCATTAAAAATCTTTCGCCCTCCATTGCTTATTAACTAATAATTAACGAAAGAGATCTTCTACATTATGCTATTTAAACGTTGTTTAATAATTTAGTTTCATTCAATTTATTTGCTCTTATATCATCTGTCAAAGCGATCGATAACAATTATAGGTTAAATGTCAAAAACAGTTCATGTTGGTACAACTGTAAGCAGTTTCTGTTTAAATTCAAAAATGAATGTTATGAAATAAAAAGCGTGCGCGTAAGGTTCACATGCGATTGAAGTAAAACTTTTTTGCTATTGTACGAGATGGCAATCATTTCAATTTTGAATAATGCTTATTAGTAATATGGTAACACTCGCGATGCACACATTTATTAATGTCGACCATTATACATATTTATATAATAATAAATTATAAATTATATATTTATAATAGCATTAAAATATTTATAATATTTGAGCGATTAGGACTTGGACCTTCATTAGATAAATTTAGATCGTTGTACACGTGCTTAGTGGATGAATTTAAACACAAGCAAATAATTTCACAACAATTTATTTATTCTTCTTTATACATTTCATTTGTTTTATTTATTTGCAATATTTTGTATTATTTTGAAACTAAATAACGAAACTTGTATTTTTATTTATATTCGCACTTGGCGAAAAAATCATAATAGAAAATTACATTATAACTTCGTGTGTTTTGCTTCTAATTTATCACAAAAATTCTCGTGATAATAAATATTTGTTTCGATTAACGCGAGCTGTCAAAAGTGTCGTTATTCTGTGTTAAACAATCTACAAGAATTTCAAATTATTTCTTTAATGAAATAAATCTTGAATTTTAAAAAAGTTCTTTTTCTTCTCATCGAGGTAAATCAGTAAAGCGTACCAATAATTGAAAAAGACTTACCAAACTTTCTACTAAAATGATCCAAGTAAACAAATTGGATCATTAAAAGTTAATTTGTTAAAATGAGTAAAAGTAAAAGTAAAGGAAATTCATAATGGCATATACAAATTTCATAAAATCCTAAAATTTTTGTAAGAAAATTATATCGCCGATTTGCCCAATGAGCAGAGAAAAGACTTAAATA